CAGGCTGAAGAGATGGGGAAAATGATAAAGGAGCTGAAAGATGAGATAGAGTATCATAAAGGACTAAATAATGACCTAGAATTCCAGCTCAAGAAAGCACAGAAGTCCAACATCAATCTTGTTTCTGTTCTTGAGGAGCTAGAAAAGACAATAGAAAAGCAAAAAATGGAGATTATTGATCTATCAATGAATAAGTTTCAATTTCAAGATGGAACAGATTATAGCCAGGGACTTGATGACAGTGAGGAATATGACTTTCATTTGAAGAAGCCGGTTTTACCAGTGAAAATAACGATGGATTCTTCTGATTCAGATCTTGATATCTCTAGCTCTAAATTTCCAATAAAGTGTCTCTATGAAGGTATTGAACTAAAGGAATTCTGGAGCATAGAGCTGCAAGAGAAACTAAAGAACATGGAAGGTACCATCACATTTCTGGAGAAAAGTCTAGCAGAAAAAGATGAAAAAATGCTTAAGGAAAGAGGTTTGATGGCTAAAATTGTAGAAGAAAATGAAGCAAAATGGAAGCATAAGCTATTTGAGAAAGAACAAGAGATCATCACCATTGAAAAGAAGCTATATGAGGGTATTGATGCTTTTGACCAAGAAATCAGAGCTTTAAAACAGATTATGCAAGAGCTTGAAGCAAGAACTTGTAAGAATCCTAATGAAATATGCAAAGTTGAAGATGAACTGAGCATGAATATCCTCATAAAAGAAGTTTCTGATGTTTACCTTCTCACACAATCAACAGATGTTGGAAGCATGCATTTTTTGGAGTTAGACTTTCAGCTTCAATGCTGGAAGGAATTTGGTTTATATCTTGAAGATGAACTCAACAAAACAAGAGCCCATTTGAAAATGCAGGAACTTGCCAATGCTGCATTAGAGGACAAGTTACAACGGTGTACAAATTTCTTGAGAGCTGAAGTACCTGGTGAAAGTAACATGCATAATGCCCCAGTTCCAGATGTGGGTAAAATTTTCTTACCTGATTGATTTCCAAGGATATTCTTTTGCCTCCATGTTAGTTAATGTTATTGTCTCACTCTTCTACTGTAATTTACATCCTTTGAAATTAAGAATCTGTAAAGTTGATAAAGATAAACCTAAGTTACTAATATAATGATCTTCACTTTTCAGTTTTGTCTTGCTGCATGCATAAAGAAAAATGAACACTGTTTTGCGTTCAACTTTACGGGTTACTTCTTATATATGTCATTTCATCACAACACGTTTCTGTATATGACATGGATGTGAATGAACATTGGTTTTTGGTTATATATGTGTATATGTATATCCTAGATAAATAGTTTTAATACTTAATGCTGCTTGTGCTCAGATTATTGTTGGAGAGGAAAACTTAGTGTGGTTCTCCTTAGAAGCTTAAAGGAAAAGAGGGACTGATGAACAAAGAAGATTACAAGTTGTGGTTAAAGCTCAAGGCAATCAGTCATAGAAAGAGCTAGTTATTCAGTAGTGAACAAGGAGAACCAAATCAATATCCCATGCATAGATTAATACTTCCTCCAGTCCTATATAAAAATTACAATTTTTGGGACTGGTCATTTTTATAAGTTACACTTTGTACTTGTCTGAAATTTAATTCACTTTTTCCATTTTTGCTCATGGTAAATTATATGTAAGTCTAATTTCATTTTCCCACTCACTCTCTCTCTCTCTCTCACCTTCTCCATAAATAAGGATATATCTGAAGAAAAAATTTTCTACACATTTATTGTTTTTAATAAAATTTAACCAACTTTTTATCTACTTAATTTGATTATTCAAAACTTATATATAATATTGAAGGGAGCATGTAGCATGTGTTACTGAATTCATGGTCCATATTACTACTTCCAATCCTAATTATAAGATCTCGTTTATAGACTATAAATAAAATCTTATAATTAGAACCAAAGGTATTATATTCATGTTTTTATTGAGTGCCTTTGTAGGTAATGATGCTCGGTTTGGTATTTCACATCTTATTTTTATTTTCTACTAAACAATTTTTCAGGTGATAGCAATGAAGAAACAAAAGGACAGAAGACAATTTCAAAGTTGTTTTGATGTGAAAAAGTGTTTTAACATTTCTTAGTTTATGTATTTCTTTGATGTAAGATAATTGATGAAGGATCAAATATGTAAGTAATTATGAATATTTTATATTTATGAAGGTCAATGTATTATGATACATTTGAAAGATGATAAAGTAAAAAAAGGAGAATGATGTGAAAAAAAACGTGGATACCACACAGAGCCACATCCTAATATATGTTAATCTCTTTTCCTGTGCATAGATAAATATATACTCATAGAGAACTCAATTTAAGTTTGAAATAGGCCAACTTGTATTAAATTTACTATAGAATCAAACCATGAGGTGTTTAAGTGGGAATTAAACTATGATTTTAAAAGTAATTTTATGATATACGGAGTAAAAAGGTATTCAGGTAAAAACAAAATCATGGTTTTAAAAATACTTTTGCGGTATATGAAGTAAATATGTGAAGGAATTTGTCTCGATTTATAAAAAAGTACTTTTAGAAAGTGTTTTTAGGGTTACCCAAACACTTTCCAAAAATATATGAAAGAAATTTTATCTCGACTTGCATAAAAGTACTTTTAAAAAACACTTTCACTGGAAACCAAACACCCTAATATTCTGATAGTAAACTCAATAACTGGGTACATTGCCGTGCAGGATCTAAAAATTCCACTGTACGAAGTACTACCTCCGGTCCTTAATATAAGACCCTGTTTGACTTTTATTTTGATCCTAAATATAAGACTCCAATCCATTTTGTCTCTCATATTTATATATTTTTTTCTAAAGTAACCCTTCTAACAATGATAGTTCTAGTCAATATATTTAATTAGCAAGGATATTTTAAGAAAGACAACGTCTATTTAGGACAAATAACTAACTTAACTTACTTCTTTAATCTCTTCAAATTAGTCAACTGGCTCTTATAATTAAAACTGGAGGTAGTATTTAAAACTAGAAAATGAAAACATGCACTCTCTGCTCTCTACTATAAGTTACTTTCAATCACTTCGTTGGAACTAAGGAAGAATAGTTACCTCGTTAAATATGTCTTAAAATTAATAATTTTCCAATTTTGCCCCTGTCAGAGAATATGGATCGAAGGAAGAAAGAGAGAAAAACATGGCATTTGAATAGCCATATAGAAACACTGAATTAGAATTAAAGTCTCCTTTTAATAACTTGCAACAGGGATAAAATCGAAACATGTTAATTAATCACCCTCTAGATGACTTGTATTAGGAACCATGGATTAATTCTAGAAAGCCACCAGAGGGATTAGTAGTCATAAAATTGGTATGCATGGACTGCCAACATGAAGTATCTGCTGGTACTTTTCTTTTGAGCCGCTGAGCACATTTGCATCATTCATTTTCCTTTATAATTCTATCAGTGATGTATCATAACCATCCATAACTTTTCTGGATCCCCTCCCAAAGAAACAAAGAAAAAAGAAAAAGAAGAAAAGAAAAGAACCCCTTTTATCCTTAATTTACAAACCAAAAGGGATTTTCTTTTTTTCTTTTTTTCCCTTGGACTCAACAAAGGGAATTTACTATGTACACAAAATGAGGGAGCGTTTCCACAAACTCAAAACAGGAATATCACCATTTTTGGCAATCACTGCCATGATCCTTGACTTCAAATCTCGCCTGTCCCTAGGGGCTGCCTTGAGGTATCTCCTGAAGCCCAGGCTTGGTAATCTTTCACAAGCTGATGATGCAAACGAGATTCAGTAAATATACCAAATTATACATCAGCTATCATCTCGACTCAGAACTAAATTATGTGTTTATTAAACCATGACACTCATCAAATGATCCTTCCCTCAAGTCAATCCCCAAGTTTATAAGGTCTTCAATACAGGAATTACATGGAAAAGAATAAATTTGAAGTTTCATGGGATTTTATATACAATATGTTATATAATTACCACCTAAACACCCAATAACATTTCATAACATTTAGATGCAACAGTTAGAAAACAATATATCGAGAACAGATAATTATTAACAGGTCAAGATGTAAGAGGCAATTATTTTGTTTATTATAACTAGTTTAGGCTTTTTTAGAAACAAAACCAAATTACTAATACCTCAACGCCTCATCCATTTTTCCCTATTCCAGAATACAGAATTAAAGTTCTGAAAAAAAAAAATCAATCAATTGAAAATTTCATCGAAGTTTGTTATATATCAGTTCATCAAGCAGCTGAGACAAGGAGGATGCAATGCATTGAACAGAAGACAAAGGTCAGAAACATCAGCTATCATATATCAGTCCACTAAGCTGGCTCAGGCAATGAAGAGGTAATACACTGAACAAGAGAAAAGTCAGAAACATTAAGCTGCATATAACTTCTGAACTAATGAACCGACCAAATTTCAACAGCATTAAGAAATAAATAACAAAGTACGATTTGATAGATAATCTCAGAAGAATTCATCTTCGTTATTCCTTGAATGTAACAGCCATATATAAGCGAAGAACATAAGTGATGGATATTTGAGCATACAGACAGCCAATGAAAAATTATCACTACCATTGGCAATACCTACATAAAATTCATCTTGTTCAGACGGTAAACATAAAGGACCATTCTAAAAGTTCCAATGAGTTTTTCCAGGGTTTAATTGTCATTGGATCATCATCATATGATATGACCAATAAATTAAAATGAAGCAAAGTTGTGCTTCAAATAAACTTTGTTAATATTATGTCAGTCGTCCACAGACCTGTGCCATAAAGCGGGGAAGCATAACTCTCAATATTTGTTCAAGAACTTGAGTCCCAGCTGATTCAATTGCTTCCTTCGGTATTAATTGGAACGCAAAAGGAATTTCAACACTCACCTGGAATACACATATTGATCGACAGATAAAGTTTATATAAAGTTCAGAGTTGCACAATCATGTAAAATTGATATAAAACCAAATTTACTACCTCAATTATAGTATCTGAAGAGAGCTGCTGCACCAACGAATTCTTGCTATTGCTACCACACGATATCCGGTTCACCATCAAAGCTGTGTTACCATATTAAAGTATTGTTAAAGCGTTCCTGAAAGTGGCATAAGCAAAATGATAATTGCTAGCGAACCTTAATGACTCCACACAATTAAACCCACTGTAACCTTGCGTCACCTGACCTACACTAAAAAGTTATTGCACAATACCAGTGGAATTCGAGAGTTTTAGAAGCTCACAATACAAAATTATAGGAGCAGTAACTTTCACAACGAAGACAAGAGTGCCTTGCATCATTAATGTTTTAATTCTTGTCACTGATTTGCTTAGAGCAGAATGCAGGCCAAACTCATTTGGCTTAACTTTCATCCACAGTAGTTCCTTATCTAACTCTGCACATGTAGTGTAACATCCCAAATTCTTGTTTGTGGCAAAGCATTTGCAGTCCAAGTCACAGGTTTGCATCGGGAAGAATGAAGGGCAAAGTCCCATAAGGCTTAATTTTCATACCGAATAGCCCCTCGTCTAACCTTTCAAATGTTCTGCAGACTGACTTTCAAAATTCTTTATTGATAAGAAATAGTATGTACTATATGCTGACAGTTCAGCAACTGTAATTACTCTACTCTCAAGGCGATCCAAGCTACCAAGTAGAGGTAGATTAATCTTATCATAATTGGCTTGGTCTACTTATTTTGTGCAAGCGCTGGTCTAGCAAATAATTTTTCATTGAGAAATACCACAGGTGCACTTATGCTATAACAAAGCTACAATTTGCAGATGACAGGATCAATCCATTTTTGTATCTATGTAGAACTGTGACAGAGTTTATAAAGCAAATTGAGTTGACATTTCTTTAATAAAATATTTAGCTATTGCTCCTTACCATCAAACTTATCATTCTGAGCAGCAACCATTGGCGAACCTTCCAGCTGTCACCGATCACCAAACAATCAAGAAGAAATCAGAAATAAATACACTAGAAACTAGAAGGTCACTCAACACACACACACACACACACACAGAGAGAGAGAGAGAGAGAGGAAAGAAACACTAGAAAGTGAACAGAAAAGTCGGGGAAAAGAGGAAGAGCTGAAAACACCCGTTATTATACCTTGCAGGACAGGAGTTTAATGCAACACCCGTCGGGTTGCTCTTCCACCCTAACCAGCAAAACTGGACAAATCTCAAAGGAGAAGAACTTAAATTTATAAACATAACACCTGAAAGTGTTGTCATTTACTCTCTCAATCCTCTCAGCATCCAGAACAGAATATTGACTGGCGGGTAATCGCATATATTCAACTGAAACCAACAAAAACAATTTCAAATTCCGAAATTCAACACATATCCAAATCCAAATGGGGGGGGGGGGTCGCTATTAAATCTCTCTTAAAATTACCTAGGGGACGTTCGAGTTGCTGAACAGTAGTCGACTCCCTCCGCCGCGCAACGAAACGCGCTTTTGGGTTTGGATTCGCAGAAGCTCGGAGTGAAAGCCCAGAGGATTGATAAGCAAATCTTGTACAGAATGATTTGCCATGATGTGAAATGGGATTAATTCTTACCAATGAAGAAGCGCTCAGTGCCATCTAAACTCAGCCTCTCTTTAAGCTTAACATTCAAACAAAATAGAGAAAGAGAAAAAGATTGGCTTTGGTCCTATGGATAGTGGTGGGGTGAGGTGAGCCCCAAACACGAAGAGAAGTTGTGGTCACAAAAGAGAACCTAAGATATGCGCACGTGTGTCACGTGACACCGCCATTTACCGTTACCGATGCTTTCATTATAAACAGTAACACCGAAGTTCATAACCCTGGCTCTGGCGGATCCAGAATATATACCAGAACTTGATCCGAAATGAAAAGCGACGAGAATTCGAGTGGTCTAATAGAGTGAATGATGCAACAACAAAGTTCAATGGGCCAGAGCGAAGCAATTAGCAGGAGGAGATAAATCCAGAAGCTCAAATACTTCAAGTTCAAAAATTGTAATCCACCGACACGTTAAGTTCGAACGATTGTAAGGACTAATTAGTATCACTGAAATCCTACACTTGGAGGTGGTGACAATTTGCAAGGCTTTGTTACTTCAAAATGGTGACAGTTGTAAGGACCGCTTAGGAAAAAGCCCGCGAAGATCAGTTTTTGTTCTTCCATTCCATCTATCCGAAGAAGGGGCTTCATTGGCCATCATCGAGTCGCCAGACATGATTGAGGAGTCGGCTGCTATTGCTAAGTTCGATAACATCGATAGATACAAGGTTAAGGTGATAAAGGACACCTTGATGTAATGATTGTTTGGTCCATGCCAATCATGCAACTGGAAAAAACTTTTTGTTATAATTATATTTCTTGGTGTAACTATATTATATTATCTCCGGTCTTAAATGTAAGAGTTAGTTAACTAATTTGAATAGATTAAGAAAATAAGTTGAATTAGTTATTTATAATAAATAAGTATTGTCTTTCCTAAAATATCATTACTAATCAAGTTTGTTGGCTAGAATTACCATACTTAGAAGGATTATCTTAGAAAAAAATAGATAAATATGACAGATAAAGTTGATTGAGATCTTATATTTAAAACTAAAATAAAAATTAAACAAGATTTTATATTTAGGTCTGGAGGAGTATTAGTCAAGCGGGTTGACATTTATGTTTTTCCCCGTGAACACTAGCTAAATGATGTACTAACTTTTGCACTTAATATAACAATTATATAACTAATTTATGAATATTAAAAAAATTAATTAGAGTTGGTTATTTATAATAAATAGATGTCTTTTTTAAAATATCTTAGTTAATAATGTGCATTAAATCGAAAATCTTTTAACATGTGTAATCACTGTAGAGATTACTTTGAAAAAAATAAATAAATATGAGAGACAAGTATATTAAAATATTATATTTAAGACCAAATTAAATCTCTAACTAACTTTTATATTTAGGACCGAAAATAGTATAGTATAGTTTTGATTAGAGCTGAGAAAACGGGTTGAGCCCGTCTGGCCTTGGCCCATTTATGCCTAAAAATTATGAAGGTCAGCCTTGTAATTTTTTCCCTTCAAATGAGAAACAGGCTCAAAAGGGTTGACACTGTAGGACCGAGGGTTTAAACGAGTTGGCCCTCAACCCTTTTATGTGTAATTATAATACTATTAATTTGTTAATGATATTTTGAATATTTAGTTATTTTTATCATCTTGAAATTAAATTTCACAGAATAGTTTGATTTATTTGGTTTTAGACAATAATTTGTCTAATTAAATTTTAAAAAATAGATTAATTTAGACTTTAATAATGATTTGATTTATATTATATGTGTTGATATTTTTAAATTATATATATTTGATAATAGAGTATTTTTATACTTATGTAACTTATGATTCTATAATTTAAATTAGAAATTTATGATTTTCAACAACAATGCTTCTTAAACTAAAGTAAAATAATAACTAGAATGCAAAATTTAAAAGTGAAATTCCTATAAAGAAGAAAAACTTAATATTTTTGCTATGAAATAAGAGCAACTGATTATACTGATGATGAAGTTTTAAAAAATTAACAATAATGTTTGTCTATTGTATATTTGCATCCTTGATCAAACTTTTGGATGTTGTTGTCTTGTTGATGAATGTTTTCGATGTTCTTGAATGTTGATAGATATTTAGATATAATGATATTTTGTATTTGTGACTTAATTTAATTTATAATTATGTCTTTTATTAATAATTTCATTGGTTTGTTTTTTTAATTAAAAAATATGAGAAATATGAAAAATAATTGTTTTAAATTGGTTGAAAGCCCCGAGCCGGTCCTGAGCCCAACATCTTAAGGGTTAGGTCTAATAATTTGGGGTATTTTTAAAATTTCGGCCATGTAAGACTAGCTCTTTAAAGCCTATCCGTCCTACAGGATTGGTCCGACCTGTATTCGCACCTCTAGTTTTGGTTGAGTTAACAACATTTTTTAATGCACTAAATTTATGCCAAATTTGTGGTAAGATTGTAACTTGCTAACAGCTCATTGTTACTTTAGTTATTGAATATGTATTTTATGAGTAATCTAACTAAAACTATTATTTGAATCAATAGTTTACTCATAAGACATTCAAATTTTGTATGATTTATAAATTAATATTTCATTGGGTTGACGGTTAACGTCTTTTTTAATTTAAATATTACTTTACGTGAATTTTTTTATATATTTTAATTAGATAATATTACTTCTGATCTTTAATAAGAGTTAGTTTGATATTTAATTTGATTCTAAGTATAAAACTCTAATCTACTTTATATCATATTTATCTATTTTTTTCAAAATAATTTTGATAGTAGTTGCACAAGTTAAATATTCAATCAAGTAGTAGTTCTAACCAATACATATGATTAGTAAGAATACTCTGGAAAAGATAACATCTATTTCTTACAAAGAGCTAACTTAAAAAACTTTCTAAATTTATTCAAATTAGTCAATTAGTTCTTATATTAAGGAGCAGAGGTAGTATTATTTTTATAATGACTACTCAAAATTTCCTTGGATCATTAACACTTAAATCAATATCTTAACTAGTGAAATGACCAATACAACTTTTTGTTGACCAGCTACAACCGAATTAGTTAGGATTTAGAAAAAAAGCCTAAGATACCAGGTGGCTTAAAAGGTCATTAAAAAAAACACTAATTTTTTCATTCACAACATTTAAATTATCAACTTTGCTTAATTAAGCATCGTTGAATCTCCTACTCCCCAACCCAGCTGTCATTAATTGCTGTGACCATTATTTTTTGAGTGATTATACACAAACTTCTCCCAAATTAGGTTTGTTCTATTAATATTGCCCAGCTCTTAATTTCCAAACATTATAGAAGAAGTCAAACTTTTCTGTGAAGTGCATTGAGATCTATGAAACAAAATTTATAAGCCGTTGAAAAATAATCTGCTGGTTCTATGCTGGCTGGCATCTATTGTTTAAAAAAGATAGTACTAGTTTGAAAATTTCAAACTGATGACTTCAATATAAAAAATTTAAAATGTTAATCCCGGTAAATGCAAATTGGTAGTACATACAACTCCAGCTAAATGTTGAAAACTACATTTAGTTATGGAGATCCATTGACCATTGCATGTGGGAAACAAAATGCAGATCATCGTAATATATAAATTGGTATTAATATTAATATATAAAACAAATAATTGAGCATCAAATTTGACAGAGTAAAATAATCAAAATAACTAAGATTGACTTAAGTTGATGATTTGACTAAGTATAAATGGTAATGGTAATTGCAGGAAAAACTGATGCTGTTACAGCTTGAGACAACAGACTATAAAATAAATTACAATTAGCATATAATATAAAACTTCAATAAAAATAATATGTAAAATAAAAGAACAAAAGAAATTAATTAAAATTTTTTACTTATCCTTCCAGATAGTTACACAAGGGAAAATCACAGAAAAATAATTGATGAATTTCAAAATTTTCAAATGGTCACTTAAATAAGCAAAATTTTAGTTTAAACATAAGTGACCAAATTGTGATTTGCAAATTTGCTAAAATAATTATATTTCCATTTATTTTTTTAAAAAAATACAAAACACCCTCACTGGCTGGTCAGGCAGTGGTAGTTGCCAGAGTTGAAGTAGGCCATAGTCATTGGAGTTCTGGCAATCGGCTAACGGGGTCACCAAAGTTCCAGCGGCTGGCAACTATTTTTTTTGAGAATTTTTATAATTTCAGTAATCTGATTAACAAGTTTTTTAACGTTATCAACAAGTTCGGTGCAGTAATTAACAACAAGTTTTTTCAGAAAATTCAAAAAGTAGCATTTTATAACTTCAATAATGTAATTAACAAGTTCGATATGACAGTTAATAACAGGTTTTTTGGGAATTCAAAAAGTAAAATTTTTGATACCTCAATAACGTGGTTAACAAATATATAAAGATATTAACAACTCTAATAACAAATTCATCCAGACGTTTTCATTCTAGTAAGCTAATCTTGTCAGTTGTGACCTGGGCTTACACTCACCTTCTGAGTTGCTTCATCTTTCAATCTCATTTTGGTTTAACATTCTATGGGTGCAAATGTCATGAGACGTTGGGTTATCTCAATGACTTGCACTGGCATTACTCTTTTGAAACACATCTGCAAGTCTATTTGCAGGATAACCTCCCAAATGCGTTGAAGCTTGCGAAGAAGTTGTGCATGGCGGTAGAATGGCTGGCGCAAGGCAGGATGTATGCTTTGAGTTGTCTTGCAATTATTGGCCAGAGTTTGGGCCCGTTGTTTTTCTTGCTGACCGGCCTTCTTTTTTAGTTTATTTAGATTTCGCTCATTTTTTGTAATTTTTTTATTTAGTTTGAATAAAATTGTCTTTTATTGAAAAAAAATGCATATAATTTGAGTGATATGAAGAATTCAAATATAAGATATGCAATTCAGGCTATTTAACTTTAATTGAAACTAATTTTACCATGTGTATTGAATACTAATCATAATTTTTTCGCCAACGAATAATAATCACAGTTAATATATTATAAATAGCATTTTATAGAGCAGGCTGCTCCCGGGGAAAAAAAAGAGAGCACGTTTTATCATTTTCTGATTTTTCTGAGATAAATTAATTCAGAATGATTAATTAAAGGGAGAATTGCAATTAGGTCCCACTCAAGGGAATTAAATGCAAAAAGGTCCCTTGAAATCATGAAATTATTCTGAAGTCCCAAGGGACCTTTTTGCAATAAATTTTATTTGTTTAATTACCAAATTACCTTCTTTTTTTTAACTTTGTATTGACAACTAAAAGAGTAGTGGTTGACAACTTAGGGTGTAAGGATTGACAACTATCGCGGCTGGTTTGAAGACATTTTCTGCATATCATATCATAATGTGTAAACCAGCCGCGATAGTTGTCAATCCTTGCACCCTGAGTTGTCAACCACTACTCTTCAGTTGTCAATGCAAACTTAAAAAAAAAAAATAATTTGGTAAGTAAACAAATAAAATTTAATGCAAAAAAATTTTGAGACTTTAAAATAATTTCATGATTTTAAAGGACTTTTTTGCATTTAATTTCCTTTGGGATCTAATTGCCATTTTCCCTTAATTAAAAAATAACGGAGGCGGTAATCACGCCCGAGCCACGACGACTGGCTCATTCACTGACGCACGCACGCACGCACGCACATGTAGGAAAGAGAGGATTGCTGGATATGTAGTCGCGGCTCAGCCTCTCTGATTTCATTCTTCACTTCCCTCTCTCACACCCTAATCCGCTTCTTCTTCTTCTTCCCCATTCTCGCTCTTTGGATTCTGTAACCAAATGGAATTTGCGGCAATGGTTTGAACTTCTTCTGTTGCTGGTTTTTTTCACGCTGTTTCTGTAAATTGTTGCCCTTTCTTTCTCTTCACAAGAAGGCACGAAAGAGAAGAGGTTGAAGAATAGTTATGGAGTCAATTGAATCTCCCTATGTGTCGTCTCCTGAGGGACCCGGGAAATCCCCTTTGGCTCAGCCCAATTCCCATGCTTCAGGTATCTGATCCGATCTGCTTTCTCTGTTTCGTTTTTTTTTTTTTTTTGCTTGGGGTTTCGGCAGTTGCAAATGGCGGTCTAGTTAGATAGTAATGTGAGGTTACATCAATGGCAATGATTCGCTTTCTGGTTAATTATAAATGTCGGTGATGTTAACGTACGGTCACATCGGTGGCCAACTTTCATGACCCACATAATTCTGATTTTCGGAGCTAGCAGTTGAAGATTTTATCTTTAGTTCGTTTCAGGAGTGTGAGAATGGGAAGAGGAAAACTTGCTATGACAAATACTATTTCGTGGGATGCTTGAGTTTTACTTGCCGTCGCAGCTGGTTTTTGTTGCTGGAAAAATCACAATGCAATTTCTCACCCTTATTTATTATATCAACTCCCGCAGAAGGATTAGGGTTACTGCTTAAAATGAGGATGAATTAAGCTATGACCGCCATAAAATAATAGGGGTCAATGCTTGATTCAGGGTTTTCTTTTTGAAGGAGCATTCACTTATCGATGTATAATTCTAACGCTGGAACCTGGTAGTAGTTTGTGTCACCCTTGAAAATAAGCTTTTCTCTGGCCTCAAAACAGAAGAAAATGGAAAGGAAACTTGATTTGCCGTGGATTCAACACTTTTGTCGTATTAAGAATCCTTGTAAACTTCTCCAAAACAAGGACTCATGCCATAGCCACTAACATCTACTTGTTAGCCCAAATCTCTTTAGTAATTGAATGATGAGCATTCTGATTTTAGTGAGAATGAATTTGTGATCTGGATCTGGTTGAATTTTTATTTTTCTTCTGTTCCTGAAAGTAACAGTGTTAAAGGGAAACATGCTCACGGAGTTTTTAAATGTGAAGATATTGGAGATGACTGTTCCATTGTACAAATTTATTGTTTTGCTTTTCTTTTTTAAATTTTATTGGTGAGGACTAAAAAGAACAACGACTCTTGGAAAATAAAACCCATCTTATGAAAATCAGGAATTATTTTAGGTTTTACTCCATTTTTTCCTATTTATAGGTCAACTTAAAGAAGCTTTTTATGTTTCTATTTATGAGTTATTTTGCAAAATTTATGAAGCAATTAATATATATTTTTTCTAGTAGTGCCTTTGGTATGGATATTGTTAAGTAATTATGGTGGAAAGAGGGATTGAGAGAAATGAGTATGATCGTAGATTCGTAGTACAATTTATTGCATTTAATTAAGGGTATTTTTGGAAATATGTGGTAATTTTAAGAATATCAACTAATTTTACCTAACTTGATTTGTGTGAATCA